TCGCCTGGGAAGAGCGCAATGATGGTGCCAACTTGGGCCAGTGAAGCAATGTCCTCCACAACTAGACTGAAGAACAAAACGACAGCAACTTGTCTGTTTCCCTTCCCCCAATTCCCCAGAACTGTTCCCATTCCCCAATTACCCAATAAAAATCTTTAAAAACAAAAACAAAAACAAAAAAAACATTGTGGTAAAAGAGCAAAATACCAGAAAGAACCAACATACTCATCAAAGTCTGGTTGAAGAAATTACGGTACATCTGCACAGTGGAATTCTATGCAGCTGTTAAAAGGAAAGTGGGAGATATCTATATTCTCTTCTAGGATGTTCCCCAGACTATATGAGTTATATTAAGTTTTTTAAAAATCAAGGTGGTAGATAGTTTATAGTACATGATTTTTAAAGAAATGAGTGAAAGAATTAAAATATATGTACTATATTTTCACCAAAATAAAAATACAAGTAAGAAAACAATAAAACTAATATAAATGATTTCCTATAGAGGAAGAAAAGTAATAAAGTGGTATAGACAAGGGAGGGGAACTGTACTTATATGAAAGGAGCTTTTTTATAGCTTTCCATAATTAAAACAATTACATTTTTAAGATGTACTTTTTAGAAATAGGAAACAACTGAAAGCAAACTCAGGTAAGCATGAAATTTGTTATGTAATGACATAGGTAAGTTACTGTGAGATACATCTTAGGTGTGGGAGACCAGACACAAAGAAAATCTTAAACTTCATTCAGTAGTATTATTTTCAGCAATTATATTGGTATGGGTTTTTTGAAACTAGATCTATAATAGCAAATTAATAATTAATGTTATTAGGAACCAGGATTATTAGGGAAGAAGAAAAGTGATAAAAATATAAAATCAGAAAAGTTAAGTGACAGTCCTGCAATCTTAATTTGAATTTGGTATCTATGCATGCATTTATTTTTCTCCTTCTAAAAAGAGACTTTTCTTGTTGCAACCATTGTAAAGTCCTAGAACCAGCAGTACCCCAGTAGCAGTGAGCACCACAAGTGTGCAGGGCTATGTGTTTTAATACCATTTCCAATTAGAAGAAATCAGTGTTCCTTGGAAAAGTAGCTGACCCAGTCAGTTCTGGGCAAAAAATATGCAAGATTTGCCTGAGAGTCTTTCTGTGCTGGGTAGCACAGAAGCAGTCATATACTGCTGGGGCCATGTCCCAAAGTTGGCTTGCAACTTGAAGGAGCTCCCACTATCCTGAAAGGGAACAATTTGAGTGCCCAATTTGTAATAATTGCTTTTGATTGAAACAATTCAAGGATGTAAACATCTATGAGTTGATAATGATACTTTAAAAAAGAAAATCAGTTTTAGGTACTGTATTAGTTTTCTGAGGCTGCTGTAACAAATTACCACAAACTGGGTACCTTAAAACAATAGAAATTTCTTTTCTCACAGTTCTGGGACCAGAAGTCAGAAGTCAAGGTGTGTCAGCAGAGCCGTACCTCCTATAGAGCCTCTAGGGGACAAATCTGTTATTTGTATTTTCTGGCTGAAGTGGTTTCTGACTTACTTGCTTTGTGGCTACATCACTCCAGTCTCCTCCTGGTTTCACATCACCTTCTCCCATGTCTGTCTTCTCTATGTGTCCAAGAACCCTTGTCATTGGATTTAGGACCCACTGGGATAATCCAGGATAATCTTCCCATTTTAAGATCCTTAACTTATTACGTCTGCCAAGACCCTTTTCCCAAACAACATGTCATTCATAGGTTCCGGGGATTAGGAGACAAACATAACTTTTTGGTGGCTACCTTTCAGCCCATTACAGATCCCCACTCATTCTGAAAGGATACCAAGTTTAAATCTTGGCTGTACTCCTTACCAGCTGTGTGCCCTTTAGCAAGCTAATTAAATTTCCTGATACATATAATTTAGATAGCATCACAATATGCATGCAAATGCATATATTTAAAATTTATTGATAAATATGTGTTAAAAATCTTTTCATATTTTTATTTGCGTAGAAAAATATTAGTAAGAATGTCAACCCAACTGGTTTATTTGGTTATCTCAGAGGGTAGAATTAGAGGAGTTTGGTGGGGGTAGAAAGAGAACTTGAAGCACCTTAGAGGGTATTTATGAGAGTTCAGTGAAATCCTGTTCAAATGAACCTAGCACAGATTACTAGGCATGTAGAAGATTTGTAATTCTTGGTTGCTTTAATTAATGAAATTATGTGTGTTTGAAGGCAGAGTAGCCACTAAAAATTTCTCAACATGTTTTAAGTCTTGTTTGCTGTTTATAGTTCTGAGCCTTTAATATTTAAAAGTTAGAACAAAGTTTAAGTTTCATAGAAGTCATAAGACCAGTACTTGGTATTAAGTCAATTCTGGGAGATGTTCTTCACTGGTGGGTCCTGGAATCTTCATGATTTAGTTCAGTTGGCTTTGAGATATTTTTATGGTTTCATTTGTTAGAAAGGGCTTTTGCCTTAAGGGGAAATATTTCAAACAGTTTGCCCTGGTAATTAAGATAGCTTTATGCCTCTTTTCCAGGTTGCAAAGTAGAATTTTTATAATATATTCTCTAATGGGGTTATTTTGGTTGGTTGTTTAGTTTTCTGTTTATTTTCAGGCAGCATTTGAGGCAGATGAGGAAATGTATATTCTCAGATTTATTCAAACTATTAAAAAAATAAACAGGGCCGGCCGAGTGGCACGATGGTTAAGAGCTGGCTTGGGACGCCAGAGGGCCCCGGTTTGGATCCCACATAGGAGGGCCAGTGACACTGCCCTCTACAAAAAATAAAAAAATAAACATAGTTAAATATAATAGCTTTTAACTTTATTTTCATTATGGCCTTTTAAAAACATTGGTCAAATAAAAAAGACAATAACAAGTGTTGTCAAGGACGTGTAGAAATTAGAAGTCCTACACATTTCTGGTGGAATTGTACAAATGGTGCAGTCATTTTGGAAAACAGTTTAACAATTTCTCAAAAAGTTAAACATAGAGTTACTGTAAGTCCCAGCAGTTCCACTTTTAGGTATGAATCCTGAGAATTGAAAGGTTATGTTCAGGGCCGGCCGAGTGGCGCATTGGTTAAGAGCTGGCTTGGGATGCCAGAGGATCCCCACATATGAGGGCCAGTGACGCTGCGCCCTCTACAGCTAACATGCTGAACAACAGCTCAACTTGGAGCTGGGCTGCCATGAGTCGCCGGCGACGGCGTAGGCTGCAGTCGCTGTGGCAGTGGGTTGCCTTGGGCTACCGTGTGTAGCCAGCAGCCAGCGTGAGTGGCCAGCAGCCGCCAAGAGTGGAAGCAACCCAATGTCTGTCAGTTAAATGAATAAACAAAATGTGGCATATGCATACAGTGGACTGATATTTGATGATAAAAAGGAATGAAGTATGGATACATGCTTAAAATGGATGAACCTTCAAAATATGCTAATCGAAAAAAAAAAGTCACAAAAGAGCACATATTGTATGATTACATGAAATGTCCAGAATAGACAGAGGCATAGAGACAGAAAGTAGGTTTAGTGCTGCCTAGGACTAGATTAGGGGAAAGAGGAATGGCAGCTAATCGGTACAGGGTTTTTTGGTGGGTGATGAAAATGGATTGTGGTCGGTGGTGCTTGCACAACTTTGCAAATATATTAAAAGCCATTGGATTTTACACTTTAGGTGAATTGTATGGTGTATAAATTACATCTCAGTTAAGCTGTTACTTTAAAAAAATTGTTCAACATCTAACTGTAGAGGATATGGTTTCTTTTTGTTGCTCAACCCTCTCAAGAATTATCCAACATTATTTTTGTACTATTTATTATAAGGAACTTTTATTTAATATCACACTTACTATATGTCAGTTCTTTTCCACATATAAACTGTATTATAAAGGTTGGGATACAAAGCTGAAGATACGTAGAGAAGTCATCTTAATATTGTCTACTCTTGTCCTCTTTAAGTGTTATCTGCTGTTGTATTCCTTTCTTAGGAAGAAACTTGTGTGTTCCAATGAACCATGCTTCTGCATTTTCATGTTCTGCATTTTCATGTTCTTTAGCTGTCTATCTACCAACATATTTTCTGTGGTATCTTAAAGCTCTTTAGCCATACCATAGGATGCCATTTTGCTGTCCAAGCCTTTGCAGTCCAGCTACTATGACTGGAGAAGGCATTAGAAAACATGTACTCTTCAAAGTCATCACTAGCAGTAGTGATTATCTTTATTATGAAGGGATCTGAATCAGCAGTTTCTTTATCTCTTATAAATAATACACTGTTGATTTTATAGAACATGAAGAGCAATTGCTCTTTATTATGAGAAGCATAGGTCTTGAAAGGGAAGACCCTCTCATTCACATAAGACTAAGGTTTGGCTAAGCTCTGGGGTATAAAACAGCTAGTGATGAAGCAGAGTGGTTACATTTTGTAACCTACATTGCTTCCATTGGAGAAATCCTAAAGTGCCCTCTCACACTAGCAAGCCTAAAACTATTGATTTCAGCGGTGAAGGAATATAAGTATGAAAGCTTTGGTAGAGTTTTTGAGATGGAATGGCTTTATTGCCTTTATTTTAAAGATAGGCAAAAGTGGGACCTCTGCTATAAATGCGGGGTTTTACTCTATCATATTGTCATTAGATTGACCTTAAGAACGTACATACTACCCAATGGACTCTAGAATCTTTTCTAAGTTTTATCTACTTTGATGACTAATGGTTTATATTCTGCTTCCTGCTTCTTCAATCAATTCTATTGAAAAATTTAAGAATGAAAAGTAATGAATACTAACATCCATCCCTTCCCCATCCTATCATCCTTCACTAGAGCTTTCTGAGGAAATAAACTGAAAAGGGAGGCTGTTTGCCGTAGAACTCCAAAAAGAAGATCCTTCCCAAAAGTGTTTGGTCACAGTTCTTAATACAGGTAGCAGCATATGATTGGGGACGGAATGGTGCTAGATATCAACTCTGATAACAAAATTTTTCATTGTCATTTTTTTCCCCCTAGTATCGTCTAGACTGTCACAACCATCCTCTCCCCAGTCGGGCTGCCCATCACCCACCATTCCAGCAGGTAAAGTCATTTCTCCATCACAGAAGCACAGCAAGAAGGCACTAAAGCAGGTAATCATACTAGTCTGTGTTTATTAGAAGTATAATCTCCTACATTAAAAATGCATGACTCTGGCAGATATTGAAAATTTGTTGAAAGGACATTATGTCCTTTTAAGGAAAAATTTCATGCAGTTTCCCAATTTGGATTTAATAATTTATGCACCTCCAAGTTAGAGGTTTGTAGTAGATTCTCTTTCTCTTTTTTTTTAAAGATTTTATTGGGGAATTGGGGGAAGGAAACAGCGCTGGGGAATCTGGGGAAGGGGAACAGACAAGTTGCTGTCCTTTTGTTCTTCAGTCCAGTTGTGGAGGGCGTCGCTTCACTGGCCCATGTTGGTATTATCATTGCGCTCTTCCCGGGTGAGGCAGATGAGTCGTCGGCTTCTGGACGGCCGCTCACAGCGGCTCTTGGCAGCTCACACAGGCTGCTGGCCACTCACGCTGGCTACCGGCCACACACGGTAGCTTATAGCAGCCCACTGTAGCAGCAGGGGCTGCAGCCTGCACTGTCACCGGCAACTCACGGCAGCCCAGCTCCAGGTCGAGCTGTTGTTCAGCATCTTAGCTGTAAAGGGCAGTGTCACTGGCCTTCATATGTGAGATCCGATCTGGGGCACTCTATCCCAAGCCAGCTCTTAACCAACACGCCACTCGGCCGTCCCCCTTTTTTGTTCTTTAGTGTTGTTCATTTATAATGTATCTTTTTTCCCATTGCTACTTGCTAATGGTTTGTCTATTTTATTGGGCTTTTCAATAATTAGCTTTTGATTTTTTCGAAATGTAAATGGTCAGTAAATATAAACTCACTAGCAATTAAGGAAACATTAAAATAATAGACTACTGGGCCGGCCGAGTGGCGCAAAAGGACAGTGACTTGTCTGTTCCCCTTCCCCCAATTCTCCAGCTCTGTTCCCATCCCCCCAATTCCTCAATAAAAAAATCTTAAAAAAAAAAAAGACTACTTTTATCCTCAGATTGGTATAAAAATCTTAATTATATCAAGCATTGTCAAGTGTGTGGGAAGTGGATACTGGTAATTTGCTGGTGGAATATAAATTGTTACAATCACTTTGGAGAAAAATTTTGTAATATCTATTAAAATTTTAAATGCCTATACCCCACGACTAAGCTTTTGAACATTTTGGAACTAATGTTAGAAAAATGTGTACATACACACATAAATACACAGAAAAATATTTGCATTGAAGTTTGTAATAGCAAAAATTTGCAAGTAGTCTAATATATACCAGTTAGGGAACTCCTTAATAAACAATGGCATATCCAAATGCTGGACAATTATACAAGATTAAAAGTTTACTTTGTAAAGAGGCCGTTCTACATGTATAGACATGGAAACATCACACTATAATGTTGAATCGTTAAAATTAAGTTGGGGGCCGGCCGAATGGCTCAGTTGGTTAAGAGCTCGCTCAAGGGTTTGAGCTCTGAGCAACAGCGGTTCGAGTCCAGCCCGAGCTGAGTTGCTGCTGAGCTGCCAATAGGTGGCAGGATGGCTCAAAAAAAAAAAAAAAAAAAAAAAATTAAGTTGTATTGTGACATAGGGCATTCATACCATTAATAGAAAATACACATACCTATAAGACAGTATTATATTTTTAATAGAAACATGAATATGTATATACAGAACACACATACATGTAAAAAAAAGCTTATTAAGGAAAAATAAGTTGATAACTGTGGTTGACTCCTGAGGATTGGAGACCAAAACTGAGTGGTGGTCAAAAGACTTTAGCTTTATGTTTGATTTAAATGGTAGAGTGTATTCGTGTATTATCTAATTAAAATTTTTAAAATTATGTAGATCTTAAAGTATTTAAACCAAAAGTGCTTTTTTTGAAAAGATGTCCAGCAGTTTGATAACATTAATTATTTTTATAAGTTTTATGGAAGATTTTAAGAAGTATAAGATGCTTCTTTTCCACAGGGAAAAGGCAAGTATTTTCTTAAACCTTGCTAGCTATTTCATGACATGTGTATCACTCCTATATTATACTCCTGTAATTCCAGGAGTGAAATACTGTGTTTTCTTTAGGGAACACCAGTATGGGAAATTGTATAAATTATTAGTATGTAAAGTAAGGCCTTGCCTCCTCTCCATGTTTTTCATAGTATTAGATGAGGAAAGGTACTTCAGTGTAAGTTATCCTTTACCACAGTGAAGGTTTATTGTTGTTTTTAAATTTTAAAATAGAATTAGGAATAGGGTTTATAAAACACTGAGTGAGGGAAAACAGTATGTATAGTTCTTAAGTGAAGAAGCTATAAGTTATTCTGTTTCCATCATGTGTCTGAATTTACATGATCACAGCAGAACTAGATGAGATCAAATGATTCTGTGGACATTTTGCATTAACCTAGGATGACCTGGATACTGTGAGTGGCAAGGAGTAAATTCTAGTGGCTGCTACCAGGAAGCCTCTGAGCATTTTCTGTTCTGATTGTAAAGAATGAGAGAGGAGCTGTAATCGATGATCAGACAGCACTGACATTTTTTACACACTGGGTTTCTGCCTCACCTTTTATAAATGTTGTAGGGAATGTAAGCCAGATACCTGATTGTCTCACTTCTCTTCTCCATTGACTACTTACGTGAAGGAGATCAAATGTTGCCACTGTGCCTTTACAGCAGAGCCAGCGATATGTATGAATGTGAAGCAGGAGGAAACAAGTAGCCAGTTATTTCTGCACGATGGTCTTGAAGGTTGAAGCTTACACTGACCATTTAGCAAGGTCGTAGATTTTCAACTTTTTCCTGAAATGTAGCTTCACTTTCTTAGTTTTTTTGTAAACTTTTTTCCTCTTAAACCTTGAGTTAAAAAGTTCCCTTCATGGGCTGGCCGAGTGGCGCGTTGGTTAAGAGCTGGCTAGGGACACCAGAGGGCCCCGGTTCGGATCCCACATATGAGGGCCAGTGACACTGCCCTCTACAGCTAACATGCTGAACAACAGCTCAACCTGGAGCTGGTCTGCCGTGAGTCGCTAGCTACGGTGAAGGCTGCAGCCCCTGCTGCAGTGGGTTGCCGTGGGCTACCGTTTGTAGCCAGCAGCCAGCGTGAGTGGCCAGCAGCCGCAGTGAGTGGCCGTCCAGAAGCCGGAGACTGATCTGCCTTGCCCGGGAAGAGCACAATGATGGTGCCAACTTGGGCCAGTGAAGCAATGTCCTCCACAACTGGACTAAGAACAAAAGGACAGCAACTTGTCTGTTCCCCTTCCCCCAATTCCCCAATAAAAATTTAAAAAAAAAAAAAAGTCCCTTCATATATATCTTATGATTAAAATCTGGGATGTTATTGGTCTTTCTGTTCATTCTAAATATTTTAATATGGTGTATCTATAAACTAAAACATCAGAGTAATAAAAATACCCTGAAATAGCCGGAAGGAAACACATTATTCTTAGAACCAGTATTTGCTTATCTTCCTTCCCTTCTGTTTACTGTAAATTGCTGAGATTTGATCATTGGGCCAGATCTTACACAAGCTCAAACTCATGTAGTTTTGTACAACCTTTTGTTCAAATGTAACACCTCTGAAACATATATAAGCTAAATATTTACATTAATACATAGAGTTGAAGCAAATAGGACTCTTCTTGGTTCAGGGTCTACAATTCTATTTTTAGAAATGACTGGAAACATTGAATTCTATGCTACTACAAGTATGAGAAGTCTGTGGCTTACTAGTGATTTTTAAGTTGTAAAAAATATTGACTGTTTTTCATATTTTATAAAGGAATAATACTGGCAAAAAATACCCAAACTTTTAAGGATCATTGAGGCCTTGTGTTTAATTGCTTTAATATAGGTTTTTATTTACTTTGATTTCAAAGAAACTGGATGATCAGCGTGTTCTTCACCACTTCAAAAGAAGTCATTTTTTTGTTCTTTCTAAAAACTGATTTGTTTCATTTCTTACAACCAGTTTTCTCTTCATAGGCTCTAAAACAGCAACAGCAAAAGAAGCAGCAGCAGCAGTGCAGGCCGAGCATGTCCATCTCTTCCAACCAGCATCTCTCTCTGAAGACTGTCAAAGCAGCCAGTGACTCTGTAACTGCCAAACCTGGTAGGCAGACGGGGGCATCTTTTCACGGGAAGTTTTTTCTGGTATTTTTGTATTGGGTTTCCGATTTGTATACTATATCATTTATTTTTAAATTATTATATTTACTTTCATAACCCTTGTCCTGCCAAATCATCAATATAAATCCTTTCAGGGTAAATGGAAAATGTATGCAGGGATAATTATGCAGTTATTTAAAAATACATCAGTGGGGTTTGTATTTTAGAATGAGGTCAATGACTAACTTCCAAGATTGTCTTATCTAATGCTTGGAAGCTTCTAATCAGCAACCTTAGAAAGCTGATGTTTCCAAAAGATGCTCAAGCTGAACTCTTCACCAAATCTCTCCTTTAAAAATAAAAGGTTTAACGAGGATCGCTGGTTCAATTCCCAACCCGAGCTGAGCTGCCAACAGGTGGCAGGATGGCTCAGCTAAAAAATAAATAAATAAATAAAATAAAAGGTTTTCCTAAGCATACGTGCTACTTGTGAGTTTCCGTTGGACATATCTACAGACCTCTGGATTCTTTTTGTTGTAGTTGCTTGTTTTGTTTTTTATCTAAACTGGCCTAGATACAGACTTTGTGTTTTATTACACAATTCAGTTTGAGACCAGCTGATTGTATGGCTGGCCAGATTTAAACTGTGTCTTGATAAACTTTGCATTTTTGTTCAGAAGGAAATCTACCACCAGAAGCAAATAATGTGCTAGGAGGAAGGAAGGGATTTCATTTTACTTTTTGAGTTTTAATTCTCAGCCTGAAAGCACATTTGCAAGGTCACATTGCTTCATACATAACTCCTTTTAGTTAGTGTTCAATGACTTAATTGAGTGACTTCTATCTATAACCTCAAAGTCACCAGTCTTTTATGTATTTTTCCCCTAGCAATATGGGAAGGAAAACAATCTGATGTACAGTCAAGCAGCCCTCAGAACTCAAACTCGAGCTTTTCTTCTTCAGTTAAAGTGGAAAATCCTTTGCTAGGCTTGGGGAAGAAGTCATTCCAAAGGTCAGACAGACTCCACACAAGTAAGTTAATTGACAAAGACTTCAATTCTCGTGCCTCAATTTATCAACTCTGTGTCCGAAATTCATCAGCTATTTGGCTTATTTGTTACTCCCTGTTCACCTAGGAGGTCTTGACTATCTTCTGTTCTTCCTGCCTGACCCTTATCAAACTTTATTTCGGAATTAAGACCTGTTATCAGCCATTATGTGATTTATTTCTTTTCCTGACAATAGGTTGCTTTGTCCAGCATTATTTACATTTTATCTCTTACTGTGTACAGAAAGGTAGAAGGTCTTATGATTAAACATGGCAAACTGAACCTTTTCCCTGCTCCCTATGAATCCCACTAAAATGAGATTATGGAAACACAAAAGAATAAATCCATAAGGGTGAAAAAAACAAGGAGACAGCAGATGGACAGGCAATGTCAACAATTTTGAAAGATGAAAACTAGATGGACTTTTTCCACAGAGCTAAGGAGCAGGTGCCAGTAATAAGCAAGGCAGCTAAGGCTGCAGAATACCAGAAAGTTTGCAGAATTGGTGATATCATGTATCATAGTAAAGAAGGGTGAGGCATAGGGTTGAAAAAAAGAACTTTCTCTGAAAGTTAATAAGAAGCAGTTTGATGCCTCACCCTAGCAGGAGATAGGAAGTTTATTTTGAAATGAAATGAAACCATCGAGATTTCAAATTCAGAGATATGAGACATAGCTGAGGGCAGACAATGAGGCAATAAACTGAAATTAGGGAAATCAAATAGAGCACAAATACTGAGTAGTGATTCTCCTGCTTGGCTTCCGAATGCTAGTAGGGAGGCCTATTTGTATCACCCCAACTGCCTGCCTCCTCCCCACCTATGCTCCAGCAGGAGATTGGTGGATTAGGACCTAAAGAGATTGAATAACCTCTAAAAAGTCTGGAGGCAAACTGATAGAGTCCCAACTAAACAGAGATCATCTGAATCACACTTCTTGGAGCTCGTCAGTCCACGAGACCCACCCACCCACCGAAAATTTCCAGTCAGGCCCTTAAGCGCCTGTCTTTTACTTATGATTACTAAGGATCACCTTTGAAGAAAACCTCTATCATGAGAGACAAAATCTAAAATACAGACTCAGAAGAAACAGAGATAATTCAATGAGAAAAACATAAGTGAGAAAATTAAAAACAAATAACTTTTTAAACTACAATATGCACAGGAAAAAAAAAAGATATTGTACCCATGAAAGAACAGAATACTATTTTAAAAATCAGAAAACAGTTCTGGGATATTAAATGCCATGGTAGCAGAAGTAAAAATTTATAACAAATACAAAAAGTTAAAGGTGAAGAAATTTCCCAGAGCGTAGTTCAAAGAAGAGTTTCAAAAGGAGAGAGAAGGTAACAAAATTGGAACAACAGTCTAGGCTGTCCAGTGTCTTAAATAGTAGGACTATGAGAAACAAAAAACAGAAATTGAATATTTTGTTTTTGTAACATGATAAGGTAATTGGTAAGGTAAATGATAAGATAAATAAGAAAATTCCATAAAATTGAAAGCTACAGATGCCAGACTGAAAGTACATAATTGGTGTTAAGAAACATGAATATGTTTATATATTAATATATATATTCCAGACCCTTCCAAACTCTTAGGTTTGAGACAAGAATTCATAATATTTTCAGACAGCTTCTTTCTGGTTTGATTCTAGGTGGGATTATAAATTGGTGTATTTTTCTTAGAAACAGTATCTGCCATAAACTGAATATGCCCTTTCATCATCAGTTCCACTGCCAAAGATTAAAAATATTCACTTATTAAACAGATACTTGTAGAAGGTACACTAACAGCCAAGCATAGGCTCAGGGCCCCTGAGACATGGTGATGAACACAACAGAGTGCTCTCTTTTTGGAGCCTGAATTCAACTTCGATTCAGTTAAAGTCACAATTTTAGTTTCTTCATTCAAAGTAGAAATGTGAATGTACAAAATCTAGCAATTATGTACTGAGTATTTTTAAATTTCTTATAAAACAAGGAAAAATTACCCATTAGAAAAAGAAGGCATGGTGTGTTTAAGTTTGACTTAATGGCCAAAAAGTAAATGAAAGTTCACTTTCTTTCATGCAAATAAGCATTAACGGAAACAGTATGAGAATTTTTACATTTTGTCACAATGAGTATTTTCAAAACATATGGAAGAAGCTGTGCATTTCGTGTAAAACATAAGTTTTAAATAAAACTAAATTAGATAATTTACATGAAATTATTTTAGTTAACATATATATAATTTGCTTTAACTTCAGTAAAATCAATAGTATATCATATATTTTTACATCCCAGATTCAGTCAGAAGAATAAACATAGCTCAGATTCCAATTATAATATAATAGAATAAGGCAACCCAAACTGAAAAAAAAGTAAGATTAACTTTACCAAAATTAGAGGACTTAAACTTTAAATTCTAAAAAATGAGCCACTTCAAGGCACTATTGGGTTGTCAAAAAAGTCATGACGCATTTTTTGCAACGAAAAACAGAAAAAATATGTCATTACTTTTCCGACAGCCCAGTACTTGATCAGAATAATGTACAACTAACTGCCTCTCAGTTTCACTTAAATTAAAATTTTAACTAAAGCTTGATTCAGATGTGAAGGTACACCATGAGTGCAAAAATAGTGAAAACTATTCAAGGAATGCTGACACTCCCAGGCTATCAATTATATGGCAAAGGGAAACTGGGATGTTGCTTTGGGGCCTATGGAGCCATTGCCGCCTTGTTTATACAAATAAGAAACTGGCAACCACTTAGGTGCTCATCACTGGAGGTCCAGTTAAATGAGTCATGGTACATAACTTGGAACATGGTGCAACTTTTTTAAAAGAAAGGTAGATTTGTAGGTGATAGTTTGGAAAGATGATCAAGATATTCATTGAAAGGAAAAATAAAATATGATTAGTGTATATATATTGATTTCATTTCTTTGAATTAAAAATGCCTTTTTTGGTAGGAAGCCAGAATTTGAATGTAGAAACCTTTACGTTTCATTTTATATACAGTATTTTGTTACTATTCCAATACAGATAACTTTTATCTTAATCTTTCAGGTACTGGTTTTATTATCATTTAGTTTGAGAAGTTTAAAAAATTTTTTATTGTGATTTCTCCTTTTTCCCAGAAGTTACGATACTTTGAAGTTTTTTTTAAAAAATTTCCACATATGTAAGGATTTCTGCATTTTTGTTGAACTTTCAAATACCTTGTGATCAGAGCGCATGCACTGTATATATAATACCTGCGCCTATATAATATAGTGATAATAGCAGATTCTGAAGCCACGTGTCTGGGTTCAAATTTATACACTTGAGCTTAAAAGCATAATGTTGAGCAAGTTACTTACTCTACCTGGGCGTCACTTTCTTTATCTTTGAAATGGTTTCCTACTTCACTGGGTTGTGTGAAAAATAAATGCGTTAGTACATGCCAGGGTTCAGTGCCTGGCACTTAGAAAGCCCTACGTAAGTGTTTGCTGCTGCTGTTGCTGATCATTGTTATTACTAGTATTGTTTTAAATTTACTGAGATCTTTTTTTTTAACCAAAGTAATCAATGTTATAATTGTACTCTAGTTGTAAAACAGAATTCTGTGTCTATTGTATCAAACTTGTCAATCTGAAAAATAGATCAACTTTTTTTCTTCTTTGTTGGGCTGCTTTTGGTATACTTGATTTATTAATAATGAGAGAGATGTGTTGAAATCTCCTGTCCTAATGGTGTCTTTGTCCAGTTCTCCCTGTTCTGTCATTTTTTATTTCACATATTTTGAAGCTATCTTATATTAGATATTTTCATGTTTAAAATCTTCCTGGTAGATTAAAGACTCTATCATTATTTATTTACCTTATCAATCACTGATTATACTTAAAGTGGCTTTTTTTTTTTTACTTTTATTAGCATTTATTTGATGTTGAATTTACTCCTGGGCCATAAGTTTTTGTTTCTTCAGTTTCTTCTGGGAGATCTTTTTCTTCTGTGCAACCTCCTCTTCTGGTTTAGGAACAATTTGTTCCTTTTCAGTTAGGATCATCTCAGTGTGGCAGGGAGAGCTCATGGAGGGGTTGATCCGTCCGTGAGCTCTGTAAGTTCTGCGCCGCATCTTGGGAGCTTTATTTACTTGGATGTGCTCTATGACTAGAGAGTCTACATCTAAACCCTTAAGTTCAGCATTACTCTCTGCATTTTTAAGCATGTGCAGTAAAAATTCTGCACTCTTTTTGGGCCACCTACATGCGTCCAACCCCACTGTTTGGCCTGGGCACACCTCCCAACTCCACCGTTGTAACGACGGAAGGGCACACATTGTTTTTGTAATGTGACATCCTTTAGATACTTGGTAGCTTTTCGGATATGCATACCCTTGATGGCCTGGGCAGTTTCACGAGTGTTCTTAAAATGAACCCGTAGATTCGAGCTTCTCGATTTACATGATTTTGTGGGGTTCTCTGGGTCAAGAGAATAGCAAACCATTTTGAGAGGTCACCTCAGGCCGCTTTTGGGAAGAGCGGCTTTTTTTTTAATTTTAATATTGATAGAGATACACCACCTTTCCTGTGGTTAGTTTTTGCCAGGAATATCTTTGTTCATTTCTGTGTCCTTGTGCCTTAGGTATATCTCTTTACAGAGCTTATAGCTAGCTGAGTTTTTTAAATTTTAATTCAATATGACAATCTCTTTTATTTGGTGAGTTTTATCCACTTACATTTATTGTAATTATTAATCTATTTGAACTAGTTTCTACAGTGTTGATTTTTGTCTTGCTTGTTTTTCTTGTTTCCTTTTCAGTTAAAATTTTTTTCTTTTTACTTGACTGAGCTTTTTGGTATGTTGTCCATTTTAATTCCCTTGTCCTTTTTTCTCTCTGCTGAGTTTGGCATACATTCTATTCCTATCTTTTATTGTTGATTCTTTATTTTATTTTATTTTTTTTTATTGAGGTATAGTGTGTTTTTCCAGGACCCATCAGCTCCAAGTCTAGCAGTTGTCTTCAATCTAGTTGTGGAGGGCACAGCTTACTGGCCCATGTGGGAATCAAACCAGCATCCCCAGTGCTATGAGCCCACGCTCTAACCACCTGAGCCAACCAGCCACGCATAGTGTTGATTCTTTAGATGGTACCATTTAATTCTTAAAAGTAACCATTCCCCTTACCCTAGCTCTGTGGATATACAGAGGGTGCCAAAAAAATGTATACACATTTTAAGAAAGGAAAACTGTATTAAAATT